AGCGAAGTCTTTGTAAGTTATATCCCATAATAAAAATTTGAATTTGAATTTGAATTTGCCGGGCTGGAAGCCTCTTTGATTTGGCCGAGTACGTGCATGCCGCACTGTAGCACAACGATTAAGCACGAGCTGGGTAAGCGCTTTTGAAGCCACATTCGGCAGAGTGATGCCCCGATAATTCTCGCAGTGTCTTGTCGCCCTTCTTGGGGAAGGGAAGCAAAACCGAGGTGTTCCAATCAGTTGGACATGTTTCGGTCTCCCAAATAGAGCGAAAGAGAGAGAGTGTGTGTGTGAGAGTAAAGCGGCTTGATGACCACCAGAAGGCATTTCTTATATATTTTTGCCGGGATTCCGTCTTCACCAGGGGCCTTGCCAGACTCCAAGCGACCAATCATTGCGGTTATTTTCTCTACCGTTGGAGAATTACAGTCGACCTCATATGGGGACGCCAAATCCGGGTGGAGATCTGCCGGACTGTCCAATGGATGACTGAGAAGTAGAACAAAATGTTCTATTTATCTGGTCATTCTACCGTCGATATCCGAGATCAGTTCCTCGGTGAAGTCGCGCAAAACGGGTGGTAAAGATTGCCTTCCATCAGACGCTGATCTTATAAGGCGGAAGAGGTCGCCGAAGGAACAAATTACTGTTAATTTGTATTTCCTGGTTTCCCATTCAGGTCAGAGCGAGACATCGTCTCACGCAGCAGCTGCTGCTCTTCCGTTACTCAGTTATTCACAGTTGGTCCTTGCAGTAATAATAATAATATATTTATGTTATTCGCGCTTGTTTACCTTCCCGAATATTGTGGCTTTTTGCACTTCCACGCCAAGTACCCCCGGGTTCCTTCATACTACCTGTCGATTTGCACACCGAATTTTCCTATAGATCTTTAGGTCGGTTCCTCTACCACTAGTCTGTCCTCGTATCCCGAAACAGCACAATCCCATTTGAACCAGATCATCAAAGGATGTGTGTGTTTGTCTAGATTCAAACTGCTACATTTTGGTCTTAACAAACTCGTTCTCTCTCTCCGTTACACACACACACCTTTCCCTTACTCGTTAGTCCTTTGTGTCTTTTGTGTTTTCCCGTAACATGTGCGCTCGTCTGCTGGTGTTCCACTGTTTGTACTACGTCTGTACAGTGAGTTTTGCCAATCGTAAGAAAAAGACGATCTTTTGTCTTCCCGATTCTCACATTTCTTGTTTACACACGTCCAAGCTCTTCAGACAAGAGGCGGAGTACACCAAGTGCTGAATTAAAAAAATGCCATACTTGGTTGTTTGTCCTCGTTCGCACACACACACACCAGAATCGCTTTGCGGGGCTGGGGGGGGGGGTGCGGTTGAGTTCAGCTCAGTTCATTTTGTACAACCATTAGCCATGCACCTTCATCCGACGGTTTCGGTTGCTGTCTTTTAGATTCCCATTTGGATGAACAGTAGGAGAAAGAGAGGAAAGTTAAAAGTAGATTCGAACAGAAAATGGAGAATTTCAGTGATCTAGGGTTGCAAGGTAATTGAGATGCACGAACGCCATTGTTTAGGACACTCAGCCATATCACTCAGTGTCTCTCATCACCGGTTTCCATGCTCTCGAGGTCCCCATCCAGGGAGCCTAACGGGACCTATGTGACCCAGTACCCTGGTTAGGATTTCCATACTCTCGTGCCAGGTCTTAACTTGATCGCCCTTGGTTTTCTTTCACCCGCTACCTGTCTCGGCAAAAATCGCTCGCCGTGGCAACCAATTTGGTGACATGCGGAGTGCATGCCCCAACCAACGTAATCTATGGAGGTCGACCACTTCATCCAGTGGGCAACTGTGGTTGCCTAAAACTCTATGCCTAACCTCAGCATGGATGGTGGTGGTGCAGTGTTTTAGTCGCTATCACTAGCAAGCTTTGGACCCGAGCCCCGCCACCGCCACTGAACTTTGGTGGTAGACAGATTTTCTGTCATCCGGTTCAATACCACACCTAACCCATCGGGGCCTTATGTGATTCGCCACTCCAAGTCTTGGGGCTGAGATCACCAGTCTCCATAACGGAGCAGCAGGTCTTCGTGAATATAGGGTTTTCCCCGTCCGCTGTACACTACACAAATGTGTGTAATAAAAAAAGCATTACTCGTCCAGCTGCCTCACCGGATTCGTGCAACCCTACGTAGACAGCGGTTTTCAAACACCGACAGTCTATCCTTATCCTGTCTGCCTAAAGGCCACATTTCTGCGCCGTATAGCAGAACTGACCGAACTGCTGCAATATATACTCGACCCTTCACAGACAACCGGATGTCGCGACAGCGCCACAGATGTCTCAAGTTGCCAAATGCCAACCGAGCCTTCTGTATGACACTTCATCTGTGATGCATCCACCGGGTGAGGTGTAGTTGCCCAAATAACAAAACTTATCCACTTGCTCTATCACTTACTCTCGTTGTTGTGGGCCCGAACAGTCGCTCTCAATGTACATGGAGGAGACACATTTTGACAATAGGTTCGCGGTGGAAGGGGGATTTCAGTATCTAGACCCAATTGCGGTGCGGGGGCCGTGAGGGAGGCGTTTCACTTCGGTGTACGCGTGCGTGCGTGCACCAGCTTGGAACGAGTGAAAACAGAGATGTCAGAACACCAGATCAGATGTTTCGGTTTCAGTTTTTACAACCATTAACCATGCAGTTTCGTGCACCGGTTTTGGTTGCTGTCTTTTGGTTGCCCATTTGGATAAAAGAGCGAAATGAAGATTGGAATGTCGAAGCCTATTCAAGCGGAAGATGGGGAATACATATAGAGTGGTGTTAGAAAATAACGAGTGGATGCGCGAGCGCCACTGTTTGCGACACCCAGCCGTATCACCATCGGTGACCATCATCCCGACGTCCCCAGCCAGGGAGCCTAACGGAGCCTATGTGACCTAGTCTCCTGGTTACGGTTTTCATACCCTCATGCCAGGTCTTAGCTTGACCACCCTTTGTTTTTTTCCAATCGCTACCAACCTTGGCAAATATCGTGTGTTTCACATTCTTTCACTTTTGGAATACCTTTAACCACTAAACATGACCAGTTGATCATTGTTGCTTGCTGTGCTTTGGTTCACATCTGTATTATCAATCTGTTGCTATCCCGATACGTTATCGGAACATATCGCGCACGGGGATCATAAATCGTTCGAGTAGCCCCGCTCTACCTGTTTTTTTTCTGACACCACCAATTGTTTGAATAACTATGGTCTGTAATTTCTTCTCCTCGTGAATGTTTCTATTTTGCATTCGTGCTCTAACCGTCTCCGTTTACTCCCGTTTCATCCGGTCCCGTTTAGCTTCTGAATCGCAAAGAGCACAAACTGTCCTCTCTGTCCGACGCGGGTGCGATGAGCGATAGCAGTGATCGCCTGTTCGCCTGTTCCAACGACCCGATCTCCGGTCTGTCCAATTCCGTGGTGAACGAGGCCCGAAATCCAACCGGTGGCGGCGGTGGCGGTGGGATNTCCAACCGGTGGCGGCGGTGGCGGTGGGATGCACAGTTCAAGCACACTGGACTTTTCCGGCTCGGATTTGGATCTGCCGGTAAATGGAACAATAACAATCGCTGTTCACTTGCCTGTGCGCGCGCAGTCTCATTTGGTTCATGTTGTTGTTTTGTATGCTGTTACTTTTAGAGTAATATTACCGTGAGAATAATTAGTAGTGAGTGTTGTTATTATTTTTTCTCTCAATATTCTAATGTTCTGAATTTTGAGTTTGTTCATGTCTACATAACAAGACTCACGTGTGCACGCATGTGTGTATGTGTCGTTGTTGTACATAATCAACACCTGTACTTGACATGAAAATGATACCGAATGTTAGTGTTGGTGAGTTCTCCGAGCTGGAAGTGTTGTTCGCGGACTTTTCGTTGCCAAACTAGGCATCATCCTCAGTGCGGGCTTCCAGCTCGAAGAACTCACCAACATCCGCGCCCCGAGCTACAATCATTCCACATCATTTCAGCGACACCAAATGTTATGTGCCTGCTCTTTCTCTCTCTCTCTCTCTCTCTCTCTGTGCCTTCATATCTCTGTTCAAGTGTAGTATACTGGTCAATCCCTCTCGCTTCACTCCCCCCCCCCCCNCGCGTTTCTCTCTCTCTCTCTCTCTCTCTCTCTCTCTGTCTCTGTCTCAGATTCGTACCACTGATTCCATTTCCCTAGCCTCATTCATTTCCGAATTCTCGTTTGAAATCTTCAAACCCACGATGCCTTGAGCATTCAGTCGGTTTTCGTTTTGAGCCTTCACACTTTCAATCATACTCAGTCCCGTACACTTAACTTGCCAGTAAATGTGACACGAACCGAGTGTAAATACTACAAACTGGTTCTGTTTACTTGTTACCCAGTTTGTGAGATGCTTGGCTCACATGTGTGGCAGGATGTCCCCTATAAACGGATACACCAGGCACAGCCGCAATCGGGCCGAGTCTATAGGTGTGGACTGGAGCCGTCGTTAGCAGAGATAGGAGATTCTCTGTGGAGAGGGGGGTGACTGAAAATCTGTAGGGGAGGAAAATGCGGACACTATGAACCAAGTGGTCCAGTGAGACATGAACACGACTCACACTCAAACGGAATGGCAAGGTGGTCACAATAGTTCTTACAATTATGGAATTCGGCGAACTTCGTAACCGCACACCATCTTCGATTTATCCATTCAATTAGGGGGGCAATTTTGGGGCAGATCATTGAATTGAACACTACAGATAAGCTCTCCTGCGAGGGAAACACCAGTTTTGATGCTTCCGCAGTGTGTGTATCGACTGAATGCGCTGGGGATTGTGCGTGAGACCAAAATCCACGCATTTTATTGTCTGGCATAATAACTAAACAGATAGTCAGTTGTCTACCCGTTGAATGCAAACATCAGTCATCGGATTGGAACAGTACCCAAAGTGAAGTGTATTGGCTTTCCATCAGACGTGAATTCTGCACCGAGGAATTGGTTAATAAATGACAATTGGGGCATGTCAGAGTAGCTGTTATATATATATATATATATATATATATATATATATATATATATATATATAA